ATGGGGCCCCTTGGGTTTACGTTGCGCTCTTCCAAAACACAGTTAATTTTAAACTCATTACCATTTCTATTTATGGGAATTCCAGCTGGAAATTTTGTGATAATATGGCTGTCTAAATTACAAAGTTTGCAAAACCCCTAGCTTAAAGACTAGATCAGGTTAATATACGCAAATATAAAAAATAAAGTCATGTAAAAGCAACAAAAGGCAGGGAGATGCAAACTGCCCTGGACTGACATTTTAAAGGAGACTTCATTTGCTAACATCATTCCCCAAAATTACACTATCTAGTTAGCTCTCACTTGCTACTCACCTCCTGAACCTGGCTCAGTAAGAATGATGCCTTAGAGGCAAATTAGTGACCTAAATTATCTTCTATAATTCTGCGTTTTGACTTACGAGGTTAGCTGACTTGCCAAAGACTTTCTATTTTCTAGCTCTTCCAGGTACATTTGCTTGTACTTTTCCCATCTGTTTTCATCAGAATCACTTTTTAGTTCAGGTTCCAGATCTTTAGCTCTCTGTTCCGTTTGACTTACTGAAGCACGTCTGCACTCTCTTAACACGTTTTCTTGAAGTGCTGCTTGTGCCTAAAGCACATTAAAAGGATACAATTTTAAAAATAATTATAACCTGAGTAATTACAGTCTATTTGTTCCCATTAGTTTTCAGTCAATGACTCAGAGAGCAATTTTAAGTGTGAGAAAAAAGCTGAATGTTAAACTACTTATCATCAACGTCAAGTGAATTAAATCTGAATTACAAAATTAAAGTTGAATCACTCTTATACTAGTACTCATGTAATGTGATAGTTCGAAGAATAATAGGATCAACTTAAAATTTTAAAAATTGAACAATACAACCTAAGAGTAATCCCAGAGTGTGGCACAGCATTTACATCACAATATATTCTTTTCCTCCTCGTAGTCTTGATTTACACCAATTGGTCTTAAAAATGATTCTCTATTGAGAATTGTTCTGAAAGATCAATTTAGTGATAGTGATGATGGAAACTAAATTATTTAAAGGGAGTAACAAATGCGGCCTTCCTTCCAGAAACCTACAAAACAAACTGCTATATGGAAAGTAGGGGAAACACATAAAATGTACACATCCGAACTGTAATTCTCAGCGAAGTGAGTTAGAGCACGTTACAGATCAGTTTCTCACCTGTAAAAACTGGCTGATTTCTTTCAGTTTTTCTAATACATCATGTCTTCCTTGCTCTTCAGTTTCCCGTCTGTACTGCACAGCTCGCCTGAATTTTTTCAGTGTTTTTACTACATCCCGTCTTGTTTGCTCTTCAGTCTCCCGTTTGTCCTGCTCCACTTGACGTGATACACTGTATTCATTTCGAGGTGACGTCTGAGGTTAACTGCTTCTTCCTCCAACTTCTTCTTCTCCTCCTCTAGTGCTTCACATTTCTTTTGCATCTGTTTCACAGATAATATCTCCTTTAGAAGAAGCTGAGTTTCTGCACTCAGATGGAGAAGTACTGAAGACGTAGATTCCTCTTTTGCTGGAAGATCAGCATCCTGCGTGAAAAAGGTAAAATTGTTTGGTAATGAGGTTAGCAGACTGAGAACAGCTTAACTCTAACCCAGCATCAAAGGCTGAAATAAATTCAGTTACAATAAAATGGTATATCTACCTTGTGGA